TATTTATATATATACTGTATATATATATTAAAGGACGAAAACAGAATTATTTCTACCTGATCAGGACCTTAAATAGACTTTTAGTCTAACGATTTTATTTATGTCGTTATGTTTTGTTATTTTACAGGCAACTTGACGAACTGCCGACATTATAAGCCAGAAAGAAAACATGATTAACATCTTAATAAAGCTGTTTGTTTTTATAGCCTATGTCGCTTAGTAGCACACGTACATCTGCAAGATGTCTGTTAAAGATCGCTTCATCTGGAATATATCTGCTGTGTACAAACATCTGAGAGACGTCTGTAAGATTTCAGCCAGTTGCGATAAATAGGAAAAAGTCTTTAAGGTGTTTATAATTTAGAATGCATGTAAAACTGACATCTTAAAGACGTCTATCAGATGTTTGATGCTTCTCAGATGAAGCGATCTTTAACAGACATCTTGCAGATGTATGTGTGCTATCACTCGTACATCTCGGAGACGTCTATTTGACGTCTGCATTTACATATGCAAGAGTGTTTGCTCATCTGCAATACGTCTATAGGACGTTTCCCATCAGATGTCAAATAGACGTTTAGAAGATGTCTTTAAGATGATTTAGAATGCACGTAAAACTGACATCTTTTAGACGTCTCTCAGGGGTTTGTACACAAGCAGATGCTTTCCAGATGAAGCGATCTTGTGCGAGTCCCAGATAGCACACGTATACGTCTGCAAGATGTCTGTTAAAGATCTTTTGATCTGGAAAGCATCTACTGTGTACAAACATCTGACAGACGTCTATAAGATGTCAGTTTAGTATACATTATAAATCATAAACATTTTAAAGGGATAGTTCACCCAAAAATAAAAATGTGATGTTTATCTGCTTACCCCCAGGGCATGCAAGATGTAGGTGACTTTGTTTCTTCAGTAGAACACATATGATGATAACAAAATCTATGAGAGTAAAAAAAACATGCACAGACAAATCGAAATTAAACCCTGCGGCTCGTGACGACACATTGATGTCCTAAGACACGAAACGATCGGTTTGTGCCAGAAACCGAACAGTATTTATATCATTTTTTACCTCTAATACACCACTATGTCCAACTGTCTTTGGGCGCGCACA